ACAGGCGAGAGCGTATTGGGAGATGGAGACCAACAAGACCTCCCTCATCCTTCGCCCTATCTCAAAGAATTTTTCGAAATAGTTGTAAAATTGAACTTTCAGTTCATATAGTGGCATCTGGCTGTTTTTTTAAAGGTTACTTTATACTTTTATACTTTAAGTCGTTTTGGGAGCACATACTTTTTCACTTTTACTTGAGTAAAGAGGTCAAGTTGATACTTCAACTTTTACTGGAGTGTTTTAAACTACAGTATCTATACTTCTACTTAAGTAACAAATGTGTGTACTTCTGACCCCATTGGTTTTAACTCTCCCTCTACATTGTTGCAGATCCTGGCTCTTCTACCATCATCATGTGGTTTAGACTATTTTTCGGAGTTCTCGTTATTCTATTCTTGGTCTGGCTGCTTCACTTTACAAATTCAAAGGGTGAGATAAACTATTTGAAATTTGATCATTGGTTCAAATGAAGAAATAATTTATTTACTTTAAACATGTTTGTTATTTTCTTTTCCACAGAAGTATGTTTTAAGTAAGTTTTACTATTTCAGTTGAAAATATATATGCTTTGATAAAATAACATTTTTGTTGCTAATAAGCATCTTTATTCACTCCAGGCTCAAACATCCTGCAGCAGTCGACCAGGATGAGAGTCAGCAGCATCCCCACTCCTCACCTGCTGCTGGTGAGGTTTCTATCTTGCTTATTTTTAGACAAATCCATAAACACTCATGAATGAGATGAGTAACAGTTTGACTTCTTCAATATGACAGATGATGCTTCAGAGTATGAAACCATGAGAGGCTCTACAGATGCTGAACAAGGTGCAGTTTGAGCTGCTGAAAGATTTAAAGCACTCTAAGCTGAGATTAAAGATGCTGTATGTTTATTTTAGGGGAACCTTCAGCGGAATACGTCCTTCCTCAACAAGCTTCTATCAAGGATCAGGACAACGTCTATGAGAACTAATAGACAAGAAGGTCATCTTCGTGCAACTGATTCTGAGAAGTGATTAAAGGAAAATATATTGTGAGCTTCTCCTGCATTTAGCTTTTAGCTTCATGCCGATTTTTTTCTATTTTATTTACTGTTTAATCAAATCAGGAGCAAATTCGGGAGTTTATACCTATTTGCATATTTAATCTCTTTATTAGGAAAACTTTTATGTTATATTACAGTATTTTTTACATATTACTGTAGGCAATGCATGTTGGCAGATTATATTTTGTGAGAGAAGGGAGGTTAACTGTGAAAAATCTGA